AGGCAATTGGACTTTACAAGGAAAAGGATGGAAAATTTTATCTCACCTTAACTAGTTTTGCTGTCCTGATGGCCCATAATTTTGACCCCACACTGCTTTTTCCAGCAACTCTGATCTATGTGAGTCTCAATACCAGACCTGCCACTTTGTTACCTATTTACTATGAAACCATTCTACCATGAGGTTCTTTTTAACAAGTGTTAAATACCACTGTGGAGAGACTTAAAGTGTTTCCTAGCCTTACCAGATAACCTAGTGTGGAGGCAAGACATATAGAAGAAAACTTAGGTATCTCCTCTAGATTTTCCATTTAAATTAATGATATAATTCTTATATTAACATTTAAATCTTTTTGCAGATCTTTTTGCCTCATGCCTTATCGTTAATGTTTTTTTTTTTAATTTTTGCAGTACTAGGGCTTAAACTCAAAAGATATGTGCTAGCTAGGCAAATGTTCTATCGCTTGCCATGACCCTAAATCCTTTTTGCTTTAGTTATTTTTAGGTAGTTTTGTATGTTTTGCCCAGAATGGCCTCAGACCACAATCCTCCTACCTATATTGCTTGCATTTCTGGGATTATAGGCATGAACCTACAATGCCTGACTTATTTAATTTAGATTGGGGGGGGAGAGTCTTGCTGTTTTGGCCTAAGGTTGCCTTAACCATAGTCCTGCCAATCTCTACTTCACAAGTAGTTGGGATTACAGGTGTGCACCCTGACACCTGTCTTGGGAATAGGTTCTTCCCTCCCCCCCTCCTCCCCTTCCCCCCCCCCCCACAGTGGCTTGAACTCAGGGCTTAGGCGCTGTTCTGAGCTTTTGTGCTCAAGGGTAGCGCTCTACCACTTGAGCCACAATGCCACTTCCAGTTTTGTGGTGGATAATTGGAGATAGTTTCACAGACTTTCAGGCTAGCTTTAAACCACAATCCTCAAATCTCAGCCTCCTAAATCACTAGGATTATAGGCATGAGCCACCGGTGCCCAACCTGGAATAGATTCTTAACTGGCCTCCTTTGCCTCCTATTTCTTCTGAATCTACCCTACTCACTATCACTAAATGACTTTTAACAGCTTTTAACAGGCCTGATCTTAACTCAAAGACTTGATAACTGGATGTCACTGGGTGTTCATCCCTACAATCTCAGATATGCAGGAGGTTGAAATTGAAGGATCATGGTTCAAGACCAGCTTTGACAGAAAAGTTTGCTAGACTCCATCTCCAAAACAACTAGCTGAAAGGAAAGGCTGGAGGCATGGCTCAGAAAGCTATAGACTACCAGCTTATCAAGCAAGAGGCCCAGAGATACCCCAGTCCTGCCCACCCCCAAACAGACCTTTGTAATGCTCATAGTTATCCACTAAATGAAATATGGAGTACAAGTTCCTTAGCATGGTGCTCAAAACAGCTTGTAATCTGGTTTCAACCACTCTGCAGACTCTTTTCCAACATTTCCAATACTATTTCAAATAGAACTCTGTGCTTTGATTTTCTTCTGTACCTTTGCCATCCCATCCCTATAGCCTCATCACGTTAACATTGATTGAAATTTTCTCTCTACAAATTCCTTTAGCTCCCCCCCCAGTTATGCATGATAGTTTTCTTTCAACAATTGAGTTTTATGTCCTCTAGAAGACTTTTATTAAAACTACACCTGTCTTCCCTATTAGAAAGCTCTAGATACAGTTATTTAACTCTCTACTTGACATCAATACATCTCACACAGGCCTTACAAATAAATTGTCTTAAAAATAAACAGTAAAATATACCAGGATTGTTAGTCCTCCACGGTTTTCCTTGTCTTCAGAAATAGCACCTCTTCTTCCTCAATTGTTTAAGCTAGAAACATGGAAATCATTCTTAATGGTTCTTTTCAATTATCCCCCACATCATTCTGCCAATAGGCTGTCAGTCCTTTTTCCAAAGTCTATTTTTTTTTTTATTTTTTGCTAGTCCTGGGACTTGAGCTCAGGAGCTGGGCGCTGTCCCTCAGCTCTTCAGCTCAAGACAAGCGCTCTACCACTTAAGCCACAGCACCACTTCTGGCTTTTTTCTGCTTAAATGGTGCTGAGAATCAAACCCAGGAATGCCTCATGCATGCGAGGCAAGCACTCTACCACTGAGCCACCTTCCCAGCCCCCTCCTAAGTCTATCTTGACTACTCACTTCTTCCATCATCTCCCACAGACTATAATAACTCCTCACTGGAGACCTTACGTCTGCTTTCGTGTCCGTGATTGTCTTATCACTAGTAATGGAATTCCTCAAAAATACATGCTGATTTTGACTTGCAAGCTTAAAGCCAATAAGTGAGTTCTCCTTGCACATAGAGTAAACTCAGCCCCTTCTGTCCAGAAACCCCGGCCTACTTCGTGTATAGCAACCTTTCATTACCACTTAGCTTTTGGCTCACCTGGATTCCTACTGAAACATGTCAGCCTTTCACTTATCTTGGAGCCTTACTGTGTCTTCTAGAATATTTTTTTACCCACAATGCTTATTCTTGTATGCTGGGTCTCCAGTCTTAGTGTGACTAGCTAGTCCTCATCAATCCTCATATAGAGCCTCCTTTTTTTCCTCAGCCCTATTAACCTCTCACTCTTCTGTTCCTTTCCAATTCATGACACTTCTCACAATTTATTACATACCAGGTTGCTTGCTTTCACTGTCTGAAATATTTATTGGGTACCTACTCTGTGCAGTGTGATACACAGTGGGGACCACAACTCATGTAGTCCCTTGTTTGCCTCCCTGAGTAATAAGCTCCATGAGGGAAAGGTCCATGCCTCTTTTCCAACCCCAACTTCTGCATCCTGCTGCTGCTGCTTGAAGTCCCTGAGATAGAGTTAAGTACTCAACAAAAAGGATTGTTAATGATTGAATTGGTGATGGGAATTATGTTTTATTTCTCCATCTCAGTAATGTGTTAAAAGAGTTGGGTAAATATAGTACAAGGGAGGTATCTCATCCTGGGCATTAAACTCTGAAAATGAAATACTGAGACAGTGCTGCAGGTTAGGGGGGTGGTCACTGTCAGTGAGTGGCCTAGGTTTCTCTTTTGCTAATTTTTCACATAAATAATTAGGCTGTCAAAGGACAAAAAGGAGCCAGGTCCAGCTGTCTCATGCCTGTAATCCTAGCTACTCAGGAAGCTGAGATCTGAGGATCGCAGTTCAAAGTCAGCCCAGGCAGGAAAGTCCATCAAACTTTTCTCCAATTAACCACCAGAAAACCAGAAGTGGCACTGTGGCTCAAGTGGTAGAGTGCTTGACTTGAGCTGAAGAGCTGAGGGACTACCCAGGCCCAGAGTTCAAGCCCCACAACCGACAAAAATTTAAAAAAGGACAAAAAAGAATAAGAGTTGTTTACATAGACATTCCAAATAGTATAAAAAAGAGGCCTCCCTAGCATGCAAAGTTTAAATGCTAAGTACTACAAAATATAGCCTGGAGAAGTTTGTAGAGACCAAGATCTTGAGAATAAGAACTAAAGCTAGACAAAAAGATACTTTTCCATGAGTGATGATGCTTTGTTTCAATTGAAGAAAGAAGAGAGATCTTCAAGGGATGGACAGAACAAAGCTCAAAGAAACAAGTTCCTGGCACAAATATGGAGGTCAGTACATCCCTGTCAGAAAAACAAGTAGCACCTGAAGAGGACTAGACCAGAGTACTTGTGGCACCAGGGGGCAGGTAGGTTTGCTTTCCCATGGTCAGTAATTGCAAATTATCTGCTCTGTTTAAAGTCAGAGGCCTGATTTTTGGGTTTTTAGTTCTTAAATTCAGTCTCCAGATAGAACTGTGTTTCAGAATTCCGTGCTCTAAATGAAACCTTTCTGTAGTTCTGCATTAGGAGTGACACATAAGAGTTTGTTCTGGATTGCTGAGTGTAAGCTCAGGCTAAGCCAAGTGTTATTTCTTGCCCAAAGCTGACATACTTTTTGACAATGACTGACCTAACATTATATCAGGAATCATACTTTGTGAATCAAAAGTCAAGACCCATGTTTGGATGGGTCTGAAAGAACTGACTTAGTCTTGGGTATGTGAAAGTTTTAGTCAATGAGTGAGTTGTGAAAAACATTTGTTTTCATTGTTTTAGTATTGGGGATTGAGCCTAGGGTTTTGCACCCTCTAAACTCATATGCTATCACTTAGCTATACCCTCAGCCTAATTTTTTAGTTATTATAAAGGTGATGTACTGAGGGGTTACAGTTACTTAAGTCCAGTAAAGAGTACATTTCTTTTTGGACAGTATCACCCCTTCCCTCACTTTCTCCCAATTTTTCCCTCCCATCTCCACCCACAAGTTAAGTTATATAGTTCATTTTCAACATAGTGTCCAGTGAATATCACTGCTGCATCTGTTCACGTTGTCCCTTCATTTCTGTGTCACACCTTACCTCCAAAGGCAAATGAACAAACGAATCTGTAGAAGCAATTTGTCTTGTTACCCAAAGTTTAGATGTGAATTCATCAGACATCCCCAATCCAATTTTCTGTAAAAGAGTGCAATTGTTTTGGATGTTTTCTACATGCCAAACACATTCCATGCATCTTTCCATTAGGTTCTCAAGGGTAGACAAGGTAATATCAGGCAAGAGCTGGGAAAGTGTTCCCCCAAAGGTCTTGGTCTTCCAGATGTACCCTGTAATCCTAGAAGAATTGGATAGGAAGTGGTGTGAGAAGAGAGTGTTACAGTTACGGAGAATGGTGTAAAAAAGCTCACAAGACTAAGACAGTGGGTGTAAATGCAGAACACCGTGTAGTACTTGAGAAGGAGTGAACTGTCTATGCTTCTTACCTAGAGCACAAAGAACATAATAAACCTGTAGGCAGTGCTAGCAGGTTATGCTTAATCTGCTTAACAGTGCAGCTTTTCGAGGTTGCCAGTTAGCCAAGTGGCTGTGGAAATTTCTTTGTTAGTTCCCAAGTTTAGAAAGTGACCCCACTGCAATTCCCTTGGACTGAACTTTGCTTCTAGCACTTGGGACATGGTGAATCATGATTTTGTCTCATTCTAGATTCTTAGAGATCTGGGTGAGGGTAAAAGCCATCCTCTTTTCTTCCATCTTCTCAAGTCTACTTTTTCTCTCTAGCTTCTTTCTGTAAATAGAATATTTTTTTGTTAAAATTATTTTCTTAAATTTTTTATTATAAAAATACCATACAGAGGAGTTACAACTACATGGGCAAGATAATGAGTACATTTCTTATCAAGCATTGTTGCCTCCTCCTTTGTTTCCCCTTCCTATCCCTTCCCATATCCCGCACCCCCACCCATATCTCCACCCCCCCCCCCCAGACAAAGTTGTAAAGTTCGTTTTTTGACATAACGGCTTGTACATCTCATTGTTGCAATGGGTCCACCTGTATCCCTATTTAAATGATTTGTTTTTCCCTTCCCCTCCACAATGTAAATAGAATCTTATGAGTAGAAATCTTTCCAAGGTCTAAGGACCTTGAATTTATACATTAGGGGGAAATCTTGAGAAGTGTTAGAGAAAGTAAATTCCTTTACTAACTTTAGATTCTGATCCATGGTAGAAAATGAAAATACATCTAGTTATCTTCCCCTGTGCTCCAAAGATGGTGTGAGTAACACTTAGGTTACTAGTGTATTAGATAATAATGGTTACCCATTTGTTAGAGTTTACTGTACACCATGACTATTACTGAGAGGCAGGTAATATCCCATTTTATGTAAGAGAATGGAAGTGGCTCTCCCAAAGTGCCAAGGCAAAATCCAACTGGAAAACCCAAACTCTACGTCAGTTACATTGTACAGAGCTAGGCTTCTTCCTTTTGATAGGAAAATGCTAAAGCCATCCCACACTAGTAGGAATTTCCAAGGAAGAGTGTTCCACAGTCCCACACAATGTTTAACTGCCCTCATGATCGGGAAATCGTTGACTTATGTAACGAATATCCGTCCAAACAATGTGGAAATTCATTTCCTCTTGACTGAGTTTTTCACTCCGGCTGTTGCTTGGCAGCTTTCCTGATATGAAAACAGTCATTGGGATCCTATTCTTACACTCCAGGAGGTCTTGGACTTGTTGTCCTCTGCCCTGAGTTGTTCTCACTGGCTCCTTTGAACCCCCTCCCCAGACAGTGCTGAGTTGGGCAAGTCTCTAGGGGAATAGAAAGTGACACTTGAGAACATAACTGGTTTATTATTATACACTCAGGAGTAAAATTAACCACACAAAATGCCTCTGGAATTGCGAATGGGAGGGTGGCACCCCGTTTCTCATCCTGTCTACCTTCTTTTTGATTTCTACCTTGTCTCCATGTTTGGGAAGCTATTGACATATCTGTTTGAAAGGTGCATAGGTTACCCAGAGAAGTCCTATCCTTCCCAAAATTCCAGTGTCTGTTGTTTGAATTGCTATTCTAGCTGTGTGTGCATGTGTCCTAAAACTTTAATTCAGGGCCTGTGCACTATCCCTAAGATTTTTCACTTGAGGCTAGTGCTCTACTACTTGAGCCACAGCTCCACTTCTGGCTTTTGTTTTTTTTGGGGTGGGGGTCGTGGAGCCTGAACTCTGGGCCTGAGCGCTGTCCCTCAGCTCTTCAGCTCAAGGCTAGCGCTCTACCACTTGAGCCACAGCGCCACTTCCGGCTTTTTTCTTTTTGCTTATATGGTGCTGAGGAATCAAACCCAGGGTCTCAGGCTTGCAAGGCAAGCACTCTACCACTGAGCCACCTTCCCAGCCCCTTGGCTTTTTTTTGCTGGTTAGTTGGAGATAAGAGTCTCACATACTTCTCTGCCCAAACTGGCTTTGAATCGTGATCCTAAAATTTCAGCTTCTTCAGTAGCTAGGACTACAGGTGTGAGACACTAGTGCCAATCTATTCTAGATTTTTAAATCCATCGGATGTATCTTTTCTAGCTTCTTTAGAACTAAACCAAGAAAAAGTTCAAATCCTGGTGTCAGTAGCTAATCTGTAGCTGCATGTGTTTCTCTTCCCCAAAAATATGTTTGATTTTTAAATGAAGGCCTTCTATGCCTTTAAAGTCCAGGAATGATGAACTTTTTGTCTGCCAAGAGCCATTTAGATGTTATAATATCATTATGGGCCATGTAAAATAATCGATGCAGGCAGATGGGCTGCAGGTAGCAGATAAGAAACATACATATCTGTCCTGTCACATAACCTGATTTTGAAGGAGACTGGGCGTTCCCTACACCTGCTTTAAATGAAAGGAGTAATGCCTTTTCAATATCAAACAATCCTGATTTGCCCTCTTGCATCCCCCTGGGAAGTTCCAGCAACAAACTGAGGCAAAGAAACTTCAACGAACATCTTCCTTGTGCACATTTGAGGGTGACTGGCCTTGTAACAACTTAAAATATCCCCGAGCTGAAAGTGCTGTTGGCCAGCAGGAGTTTCCACTCAAATGCTGTTGTGCTTGCCACAGCACTTATCATCTAGTGTCACATCTCATCATGCTCCCTACCTTATTTTTAAAGCTATTGCAGTGCAATCTTTACAAGTTTATGAATGTTTGCAACAGAAATTTCTTCAAAGCCCTCCTAGGAGGTGACATGCAAATTGGCTAGTGTGCCCTTGTGGAAGTATAGGACTTCAGGGTTGACAGGAAAGCAGTGACTGTCTTTTAAAAGGGACATTTTCGTATGGTGGTTTCCTGCTTTTTCAAGCCCTGAGATACTTCTGGTCATCAACTGAGGCAGTGAGGACTAGAATTATTGATTAGGGTTAACCAACGCTTCCCCAGTGCAATTCCAAAGAAACTGGTGGGTTGTAGATGGGAAAGGATGGTCAGATTATAGCCTTGATATCATTGTGCCTGATAACTGCCTGTTAATCTTTCATCAATGATCACACCACAGCATCTAGGGAACTGCCATTTCAATGGCATCAGAGTAATAACTTGTTGGACTTCGTGTTTGAGGTTCTTTTCCCTGCAGATAACAGAATTTTATTTATTTATTTATTTTTGTCGGTCATGGGGCCTGAACTCTGGGCCTGGACGCTGTCCCTGAACTCTTCAGCTCAAAGTCAGCACTCAACCACTTGAGCCACAGCGCCACTTCCAGGTTTTTCTGCTTATGTGGTGCTGAGGAATTGAACCCAGGGCCTCATGCATGCAAGGCAAGCACTCTACCACTGAGCCACCTTCCCAGCCCCAGATAACAGAATTTTTATCAAAGCCAGAAACTGCTTGAGCAGGTGGGTGAAGGCCAGGCTTCAGTCAGATGTGGAGGAGCACATATACTTCCCAGCCTGAGGGCCTTTGTGTCCTAGAGTGGACAGCCTAGGCATGAAAGTTTATGAGCCCAAAACAAAATGGAAGGAACAATTGATCCTGCAAGGCATCATTTGCCTTCCTTTAGCTTCAAGTGCCCCAGTAGTTTTTGAAGAACTGTCCAAGGCAAGGAGAACCAGGGTCACATCCTCTCTTAGAGCCACTTGGGTGTCCTGTGAGACATTTCCTCCATGGCACTATTCTTCATTCTGTTGATCAATTTTCCATACTCCGTCAGTACCCAGGAGCACTTTCCTTTGATTTTCCTCCCCTCCCCAAGATCTACAGGTTCTAGGTTCTTATTTCATATTTATTGAGATTTAAGGGAGTTTACATAAATGTTTTTCTCACTATCTGACACCTCTACATTAATTTCTTTTCCATCTCTCATTTTGTACTATGGTCGGGGTATATGGCTTTTCTCCCCTAGATTAGCTGTCAACTTATCCAATGCACAGTTCGCACTTATCACCCTCATTAGCTCTTACGTTACATTGCCTAACACAGAGCAATTGTTCAGTTGGTGTGGTCTGGCTGACTGGACAGTTAGATGGCAGGTTGAGTGTCTGATTGGCTGGACAAAGATCTTTCAGAACAGTGGAGCTTGTCTTGCCACTGAGAAGCAAGTTTCAGTCTCCCTACTTCCATTAATGATCACTTAGCAGTGGTCACTTGGGCCCCAAAGGGGGAAAACATGAGTCATGCTATTATCAGAGGAATGAAGGAAGGCAGAAACATCTCTCCTTGTGCAAGGGTCAGAGCCATGAAGTGGGAGCATAAACACAATGGCCTTCACTATCCCCCAGGTCTATGGTTAATCTAAATTACTTTATGACAGAAGGCAATGGAGGGAGATGAAAACGGTTCAACTTGGACTGAGACTCAGGAGGTTTCTAGGAAACTAGAGTAAGGATCAGTGACTCATTTGTCTGCCTTAGCCGAGTGAATTTCTGATTCCTTCCATTGAGACTTTCCAGTTAACAAATGACAGCTTCATTCTAAGACAAGTGGGAAGCTCTGTCCCCTAACTTCCTCACAGGCTCTTCTATTGCAGTGACAGACAGGGAAAGGGACATTTAAACAGCAATTGGTCCTCATGATTTCTGAGAATCCCAAATCCACTTTGCCATGGGAAGTGTCTCCAAGCTCATGTCCAGACTTACTCTAACTTGAGGGCTTTTACTTAACTTCTTTAGTCCTTCATTTGTCTCCTGTGGAAAAACCTACTTCTCTAAGGGATTTTGAGGATACAATCAAGTCAGGAAATCTTAAGGTGTTTTGGCTGCCAGGTGATTGATCCTCAGAACCCATACCAGACATCTGCCCACTCAGCACAGCAGAATGAGCAAGGTTATCCTGTCTTTCCACTTTCAGTGACCCCTCCTCACCACACAATCACCCTGGGGTTCTTGGTGCCAGACCAGAGACAAGACTTCTTTTGTGAAGCTTCTGTCCAGAGAGCTCTCCCATTCCCTGCCACTCCTCCTAAATGAGCTTGATTGCTGGGTCCTAGCTTCTGCACCAGAAGTGCAAGGGTAAGTGTCTGAAATAACTGCTTCTGTGTGCTAGGTTTAGGGGCTGCTTAGGCTGAATCTCATAGGGCTTTGTCATTGTCAGTGTTATCTTGGTCAATACCCTTATAAATTAACCTTTGTTAATTGCTAGTGAGACCAAACCATTGGGCTCATAGACTCACACTTCCAGGGTTAGGGAATTGGAACTAAGATGTTATATCTTATTTGAATGTAAACCTGGTATTCCTCTGGTGGAACAGCTGGCTGTGCCTAGACATAGCAGGAGACAGCAGGCAGTTCCATACTGTACGCTTGATGAATTGATGTTTTTTGACATCACCTAATGGACAACCTGCATGCTCCCATGTTACCTTCTTTAGGTTGTGTGGAGACCACTCATATGGTCTTTCTATTGGTTGTGAATATTGTTGCATCATCAGTATACTAGTTGGTGACTGGGCAGTACCACCAGGACCTGCTAAAATCTAGTTTTCACACCTGCCAAAAGATGATCAGATCTGCTTTACCTTCCTCATAAACACATAGGTATTTAGTAAATAACCTCAATGAAATACTTTTTCCAAAAAGGGAGGAGTACTGGGCAGGATGAAGAGTTTACTGAGGGGGTTATGACTATGCTTTTAATTGTATACAGTAAAATATAGAATTTTCTATCCACCTGATAGGAAGAAAGACCAGATGACACCCTCCCCTCAGCCCAATTCTTTTCAAACACATGCTGTCTGAGCCCCTTTTAATCAATGAAACAATTACTCAATCAAGTGTTTATTGATCACCAATTGTGTGCCTGGCACTCTGACAGATATTCTGTGGTATACAGATAGTTCTAAGATGAAGCACATATCCTCCAAGTGTTTATAATGGGCATTTGAGATCTGGCGGACACACAAACACAGAACTATTGATCAAAAATTGTGTATGATAAGCATTAAGAAACAATTTATGCATTGAGGATTGGAGGGAGAGGGATGGAGTGATCAGAGAAGGCTCAGTGAAGGAGGTGGTGCTGAACAAGATCTCCAAGCATGGGGAAGACTTGGCTAGGGGAAATGGACTTCCAGATTAGGAGAACAGCTTGAACAAAAACACAAGGGTGGAAATGTGCAAGGCACATCAGAGGGACCTCAGAGAATGGGCCCCTTTTGCAGGTACTGAGTTTTGGAGGTATGCTGGGTATCTTCAAAAGCTGGTTCTATTAGGCTGGTGAGGAAAAATGTCCCTGGTTTATGCCCCTCACTCCTACTCCAAGGGAAATGTAGTCGGCTCAGACTTTTGAGATGGAACTGTTGCTCAAGATCTGTTCTCTACTTTCCCACTTCAATTGAAATCCTAGGCTGCAGCTATCATTCAGATCATGTACACAGTGCCTGGGGCATGGATGTTCCACACCAGAACCCTTAGGTCCCCTCTGATATCTTGTGATGGATGATGAGAGGAATATGAAAATTGACCAGGGATCCATCTGGTACTTCACTTTTTCACAGGCTCTGCAGTGCTCTGTTGGTAGGGCTTGATCTCAGCCTTTCAGGCTGATTTGTCATTAGGTCTAAAGACCCCTGGGAGGACTCTTTGGAAGAGTAGAAAAACCCACTGGATCCACCACATATGTCCACCCAGCTTCTTAGATCACAAAATTCATATTGTTTTGGTCAGGGTCAAAGGAGTATATTGTCCTCAGTCCTCCACAGTTCCCATGTTGTAATCCAACAGCCAAGGACTAGTTCTAGAAAAATGGGGTGATTGTTCCTAAGGAAAACCATTATCAGGGGCTCTTAGCCTTGTGGTTTATAGAGGAGACCAATTCCGGAACCCCAGACTTCGGTGCAAGTTGGAACTACACCTTCTCAGGCAGTTTCTCAGTGGAGTCCAAGTCTGCTGCTGCTTTGAGCTTTCCACAATATCTTCTTGCCTTGTGCTTTCCTCTAGATGTAGGTTCAATACCTGACCCGTGAGAGTGAAGGAATTTTGAGACATGCCCTGGGAAAGGGTTCTGGACCCTGGTTTGGTCCCAGGCTGCCTTCTTTTGCTACCATCCTACACCTAGTTGCTTTTTGTTCCCTGGATACCATACGATGGTTTTCTTTCAGTTCATGAACAAATTAGACTGGACACTCTGCAATAAAAACAAGAGTGGAAGGAAGATTCCTGGGCCTATTAGTGGCAGATCAATTTCTTTGGAGGGAGGCTTAAGAAAGAGCTCAGAATCATGATCATAAAAGCCACCACTGTTTCTTCTCCCTGTCCTCCAGCAATGAGCTAAGAGCCAACCTCAGCCAGAGGGAAAGTCTTTGATCATAGAAAAGGTCAGTCCATGAGATGTGACTAGTGGGTTTGTGAGTGGATTTTGAGGTACACAAAAGGAGACAAGGGAGCCTCTGCGGCCTGGCCAAAGTTGGAAGGTAAGATCTGGGGGTTAAAGTTAAAGACTCAGGGCATGGGGGCAAGGTGAGGGGAATAGAAAGACTGGTTCAGCCAATATCCTTGACAATTCAACCTGGAAACTGTCATCCCAGCTCCCATGTCTGCCTTCACTGGATCCAATGGCCATAGTCAGTCTATTCTCAGCAACACCTTCTGACATGATCCAGTAGGCAATGTCCCTCACCTGTGGCCCTGGAGGTGCTGTCCACTGGTTTTCACAGACCCAGCCACACCCCTCCCCAGCACTGGCCCCTGTTTCTTCACACATACCCTGTCAGGCTGTAGGAGTTGAACTCACTCTTGGCTTTGGGTTGTTGACCAGGCCTTGGAGAGCTCCTGGTGGCAAGAGGCTGTGCCTGATAACCATCATAGTAGTTGTTGCGATTTCCCCGGGTTGAGCAGGAAAAGCAGAGGATGATTCCAGCTACCAGAGAGAACAGGGAAGAAATAATGCCCAAGTAAAGAGCCTCTCCAATTTCGTATTTCATGCTGTCAGGCACCAATGGTGAGTAGAAGTCTCGCAGGATCCCATGAAGATTCCAGGCAACAGGGATGAAGCCCAGGAGGCCTCCAAGGATGAAGAAAACTCCACCCACCACTGCGACTCTGTCTTTGGCTTGAGATTCCTTGCAGAACACTGTGCATCTCATCCCCACCACAGAGATCATGCAGGCCAGTGAAGAGAATGCACTGGATGTGACCATCATGGCCTGGGCAGCCTGGATGTCAGCGGGCAGGCCTAGAAGGGTACTGTAGATGTCACACTGAGTGATGCCTGTGCTGTGTGTGGCACATTCCATCCAAAGGCCCTTGGAGAAGCCGACTGCTGTTACGATGCTGGCACCAACATAAGAACTTATTCGCCAACTGGGGAGCAGCATGGCAACCAATGTGCCCAAAAGTCCCAGAAGGCCTAGGATGTAGCCCACAAGTTGTACACCAAGAGAGGCCATGGCAGACCTCTGAGTAGAAGTATCTTCAGGGCCTTTTACCTTGTCTTCTGGATGTAGCAGTTGCTCCTTAGATTCTGGTCTCTAATCCCTTATTTGAGATTTTCTCTTCCAGGCTGACTTCTTTCCTCCTTACAAGTGTCTGTGGGTGGCCACAAGCAGGCTCAAGAAGGCATCTAGAAAACCTTAAAAAATCCATAAACCAGATTAAATATTGACCAGAAGCTTATGAGAGACCAGAAAATGCTGGAATGCCTTTTGACCTTTGTTATCTTTAGAAATAACACATGAGAAAGAAAAAAATCTTTGAAAGTAGAGCCAAAATGTCATCACTCCTGCGTAGGCACATGCCTTAGGTTGGCAGTCAGACAAAGGCAGGGGCGAGACAGGTGGCTGCTTTCCGAGAAGGTCATGATGGCAGTGGCCGTTGTGGTTATGTTAATACCACTGTTAAGTCACCAAAGCTCTCTGTTTAGCATATTGCCAAGCAACAGTGCCACAGGGCCCCTCAATTGTAGATTGAGACCAAACTCCAGGGGACTGGATCAGGAGGAACAGGTCCTAGAATATAGCTTTAGACTTGTTAGAGGCTGCTTGAATCTATATAGGAATAGAGATTAGCAGTCTAACCCTATAGCATCCCACCTATGGTGAAAATCTATGCCTTGGTAGATTGGAACATATGACAAAGCTTCCTACCCATACTCTGATAACTCGGATCTTCCCAGCTTTCCCAAATCCTTATCTGCAAGCTAGCCTGAAGGCTCCTCACCCTTATACTGCACCAGATATTACCTGTTCAATCGCCTAACAGATGCTCCCATTATCAGCCTCCCAGATGATGTAGAGAACTCTAAAGAATAGTGTTCCAAATCCACAAAGGAGTCCTGAAGTTCCCTAGGCTCTTAGGAGCAGTAACATGGATAGAAGCAACAACAGAAACTGCTTTTCAATAAAGAACTTCATAAGAGGAAGGCAGCCAAGGCAATCCTTTGAAATCTCTGAGATGTACAGGATTTGGCAGTGCTTAGGGAGCCTTCACTTTCCAAGATACAGGATACTAAAAAAATCCAGACTTCCATCCCACTGATTTTCAACCTGCTCCAATCTATTTTGTTTTCACCTTCTCCAAAATTTCTCCCTACTCATATCTTAAACACAAGCATTGCTCAGAAATCCATTCTTTTCTTTTGTCAATTAACACTCTGTCCTTGAGCAAACACATCCACCTCCATGGCTTAATCTGTTACCCATCCACTGACACTCCCACATCTGAATTTCCTGACCTTCAAGACTGGTAGAGGAACTTCTAGTTAAAATTTCCCAGGCAGGAAACAAGACTTTTTTTCATAAATAACCAGCCTAGCAAGCACTAGCCTCTGAGTTCAAACCCCAGTTCTACCAAACGACAACAGAAATTCCACCCAGAGTCAGGTACAATGTCTCAAGCTGTAATCCAAGCTACTCAGGAGGTAGGGATTGGGGAATCTTGGTTCAAGGCCAGCCTTGACAAAAAAAAAAAAGTTGGCAAGACTCCCATCTCCCCCAATGGCTGGGTACAGTGGTGCATGCTTGTCACCCTGAGTGACAGAGGAAAGCACAAGTCTGTCTGAGCCTAAAGCACAAGTATACTTTGAAAAATAACCAATTGATAAAAGAGCTGAGGGCATAACTCAGGTAGTAGAGTGCCTGCCTAAGGCAGGCCCAGTGGCCCTGAGTTCAAATTCAAATTCTAGTACTGACTCAAAAAAATACACCTAGAAATCTCACAGGCACCTTGAATTTGCCATGCCTGAAAGAAAACACATCCCCTCCCCTATTGCATTGCTCCCCGAACAGTTTTTTCCTGGGATCCCTGTAGTCACCAAATGATAGATACATCTATCTGTTTCCATTCACTAGACCAAAATTCTGGGAGGGTCCCATGCCGCCTTTCTTCTGTTCTTCTGTTTATTCCCTGAATCCTACTATTAGTATGCCCCACCAATTCTGTCTCTCGTGTGTGTGTGTGTGTGTGTGTGTGTGTGTGTGTGTGTGTGTGTATTTCAAATCCATGATTCCCCACCCTCTCTTTTCCATCTCTACTGCTGCTTCCTAATACAGGGTTTAATAATTCCCTCACCTGGAAGTAACAGCTTCCTAATTGGTCTCGCTTCCAATCTTGCCTCCTCCAATCCTTCACACTGTGTTCAAGATGATCTTTCAACATATTAATCTCATCAAGTCACTACTCTAAATAAGACATTCCAATGGCTCCCCATTGGCTAAAGAATAAAGTCCAAGCTTGTTTGTACTCGATGACCTCTCAAGCTTCACCTCTTGCCGTTCCCCTCTTCATACCCTAAACTCTTGCTGAACTAAATGCAGCTCTTCAATCATGTCATGTGGTGTTTTGCTCCCAAATATCAGCACAAGCTGTTCTAGGAGGAATAACCTATGTTCTTTTTATTCTTCCATTCAATGCTTTCTCATCCTTTGGGGCTCACTCAGTTCAGATATCTCTTACTCTAGCCTGGGTTAATTGCGACTCTTCTTTGTTCTTAGAGAATCTTATATTTATTTACTTCTGTCATTATCATCATTATGATCATCATCATCACAGTAACAATAGCAACAGGTATATAGTGGTATTGTTTGTTTGAAGCAGAATCTTGCTATGTAGTCCAGGCTGGTCCTTCTGTCTTAAACACTGGAGTGCTGGGATTGCAGGCTTATACCACCGCATGCAGATATATTGTAGGTTTTTTTTTTTCTTGGTGATACCGGAGTTTGAACTCAGGGCCTCACACTTGATAAGCAGGCACTCTAGTACCTGAGCCACACCTCTAATCTACGTTGTTTCTTATCATGTTTCTTAAGTTCTTCACATGTATTAACTCATTTAATGACAACTGTTTTTGTGATACTATTTGTTTTGCTGTAGAATACATAAGAAAATGAAGGTAGAGGTGTACTTTTTGCACTATACTGTAACTTTCAAGGAAAATTCTTATTCTTCTCTGATAGTCTGTGAGCTACTAGAGAGCAGGAACTTGGAACTTACGTGTCTTTGTCCCTCTTGTGCTTACCCAAGTGCTTTACTAGGGCTTGAGCTCAGGGCTTTTTGCTTTCCCTTGACTGTTTCACTCATTTTACCACTTGAGTGACACCTCCATTTCTGGCATTTTTGATGGTTAATTGGAGATGAATCTCTTGGATTTGTATGCCCAGGCTAGCTTTGAACTTGGAACTTCAGATCTCAGCCTCCTGAATAGCTAAGGTTACAGATGTGAGCCACCAGTGCCTAGACAAATATATCTTCTTCTTCTATTTTTTCTTTGGTCAGTCCTGAGGCCTGAACTCTGGGCCTAGGCACTGTCCCTCAGCTCTTTAGCTCAAGGTTAGCACTCTACCACTTGAGCCACAATGCTACTTCCAGCTTTTTTTTTCTGCTTATGTGGTGCTGAGGAATTGAACCCAGAGCCTCATGCATGCAAGGCAAGCACTCTACCACTGAGCCACCTTCCCAGCCCCAAATATATCTTCTTAATAAATGAATAAAACTGGTGAAAATGTTGGAGAGGCTTCATATGACTATAAAATAGATACTTTCTAAATGAATGCGATGGAAGGGAAAGAAGATTGTGATGAGGAGGATCAGAGGAAGAGGTAGTAAACATGGAGAAAGTGACACAGATATTCATCTGTTGAATAATTTTGTCTTTTCAGTTAAATTATAAACCACTGAACTGTGAAACTCACCCTATATTAAGCTTCATCTGTGTATCTGTACCACTAGACACATAGTTAATAGTCAACAGTATACATCAGTGTCAGAGGTGATGGTGATGTGCAGATCAGAAGCCAGTAAACATTTGAAGAGCTCTTTCACTTACCAGTTGTGACACTGAGCATGTCCTTCCCTGCTGCTGGTTTTTGTCTTGTTCACCTGGGCACCATTGTGTCTCTCCTGATCAGCATTGCACATCTCAGTGAGGCCTTCAGTACTACTTGCCTATGCAGCTCATGCCTGGTCCACACCCTTCTGGTAGTGACTTCAGATATTTCCCACTCTTCAAGATTTTTTTTTTTTTGGTCCAGTTGTGGGGCCTGAACTCTGGGCCTGGGCACTGTCCCTCAGCTCTTCAGCTCAAGGCTAGCGCTCTATCACTTGAGCCACAGCGCCACTTCCGGCTTTTTTCTTTTTGCTTATGTGGTGCTGAGGAATCGAACCCAGGGCCTCATGCATGCAAGGTGAGCCACCTTCCCAGCCCCTCCCACTCTTTTAGTAAGCCCCTTACCCTGCCTCCTCCCTAGGCAGCTATTACTGTTTATCTTGATCATTCACTTTGCAACCAAGTTCCTTAAAGAATCCATTTAATATTGATTTCCCTACCTCTCCACCCTGCTATGTACTTCTTAGCTCTCTGCTTCCAGTTACCCTCCAGGAGAATGTTTTCAACAAGGTTATCACTTATTCCCAACATCTGATACACATAGTTTGGTTATTTCAATGTGTCCACCTTCCTCAAATATCCTTTTCTTGTTTTCTGTACATCATCCCCAGTTTTCTCCACCTCTTATTCACTCTAGCTCTATGCCAATGACTTCTAAATTCATGCCTCTGCTAGTGATCTTTCTTTTGGGTTTGATTTGCTTTTTTGCAAGACAAGGTAAGCTTAGGCTGGCCTTGAACTCACACTCCTCTTGCTGTCTCCTGAGTAATTGGATTATAAATGTGCACTACTATGCCTGGTTCAGACCTCTAATGAACTGAATGTTTGAATAATCAGCTATATTTACTACCCAATAACCTAGCTACCCATTGTCCTTAACCTTTTCTTGATCTATAATCATTGTTGAAGTCCTATTAGATCTGCCTTCAGAAAGAACTATGTATCCACCCACATTTATCCACCCTTACTTCCCAATGTTTTCTAATTACATTACTATCCAGTTCATAGAATTGGTTATCCACCCATCAATGATCTTTCTGAAGTAGAAATCAGCTTACTCTTTGCTATGCTTATAAACCTCAGGAACATTTCATTCCTTTCAGGATGAAATTATATCTCCTAGGAAAGTCATTTAGATTTGACTTCTGGTTTTCTTCCTAGCCTCACCTCTCACCATTAACCACCAATGCCATGCTTTATGTTCCTGCACACACACATGATGCAGCCATACATGAGCAGTGAATCTGCCTTTATG